CTGTACATCCTGTTGTATATGGAGGCAGACGGCTAGTGGCTAGTGAAACAACTGAAAATGACAAAGGCCTAAATTAGATAAGGAGGAAATCTGCTTTCTATTTCTGCTGAACCATATGATTGTGGTGAGTCAGATGTTGAAGGGCGCATCAACAAATTGATTTTCAACTTGGACTTTATGTACTTCCGTGACCTTGGGAAAACCATAAGTTCGAGATGCACAAGGCTCTTATTCTGTTTTCCACTCTCAAGACGTTTATGCATTTTATAGATCTTCAAAGGTGTTTTCGTGATTGAACATCACCCAGCAATTTCAATCCTTCAAGCCTACTATTACGTCTCTAGCAGGCTGCAGACAAATTATGAGAAGTGTAAGAACAGTAGAAAAAAGGGCGAGGGGAGTGTGAAGATGTTAAGTCAAATAGATGTTTGGGAAAAACACATATTTACAAATTGATACTGAAACTTTTTATTCAATGTTGTCCGTAAGACTGTCCAGGGAAGAACACAGATGCATTGTTCAAATTCACAGTGTTGCTGCAGCTAGAATCTGGGACAATAAACTGATTATGTTTCAGCTCTGAGTCAAGCCTTCAACCTATTCCAACTGTCCCATAAATACATACATGATTGCCTGAGTTTTAACTACGGTATATAATACTTGACCTTCAGGAGCATAGTTTCAATAGGCCATATGGTAGAATGCTGTCTTTGATGACTGGTAATCATATTTCATATTCATATTCATATTCATATTCAGACTCCATATGGACATGTGAAGATGCAATCATGTTAACCAGAGGTAGGGAATGAGTAGTGGAAATTTTTATCACGACTATAGCAAGGCAACATATTAAATGTGAGCCGAAGCCTTTCAGAAATAAGATTCTCTTCAGTTACACTGCATTTTTATTTAAAAGAGTGCCGATTTTAGCTGTGATTTGCGCTTTAGGATTCGTATAAAACATCCACCATCTTCAAAAATCTCACTGAATTACCGTCTCAGTGTTCAACATTTAAAGACTGTAAAAAAAGGAAACGATCTTCCGATGGGGAGGTGCGTAATGGGGTGACTGTGAAGGCAAATCCTCAGAAATGGGAACAAGCTCTTTTTGTGAAGGGAGCCATAAAGCTTTTAAATTACAGCTGGGACTTTCCATAATATACTGAGTACGTGTGGCCTAATGTGATAAATTCAGAAAATGTGTATAATTTTATATATTATATTATAGATTTATTAATTTATTTAATTTATATTGCTCAATATTTGACATATATTGGCCAATATTTGTCCATAATTACAATTTAGATTGTCTTGACATAATTTAAAGGAATAGCCACTCAAAAAATACATTTTTAATTCTGCTGAACACAAAAGAAAATATTTTGAAGAACATTGGTAACTAAAAACTTTTGGTTCTCATTGACTTCCATTGTACAGACAAAAAAATACAGCTTAAGTCAATAGGAATGAAACTATTTAGTTACCAACATTTTCTAAATATCTTATTTTGTGTTCAGTAGAACATAGAAATGCATACAGGTGTAGAATGACACAAGTCTGAGTAAATAATGGTGGAAATTTCATTTTTGGGTGAACTATCCCTTTAATCCTCAGTTAAAGTTAATCTTTAAAACAAATGACAACTTCACATTTGTACATTATAATGTTGTGGTGCCTAAATTCACATTAATCTGAATTTATTTAAAACGACTGATTCAGTTTTTAGTTGTTGTTTTTTTGACAAAATAGTGTAGAATTTTAATATTAGCCATTTAGCGGTTTTTGGTTATAGCATAACAATTACTATTGGCTTTTAGTAATTTTAATATGACACTTTAATAGTACTACATTTTCAAATGTGTTTTTGAGCCTATAGTGTATTGCTGCTAAGACACCAATAGTTTGGTAAGCACATATTTAGTTGGTTTGGGAAGCATATATTTAGATTGCCGTCCTCTTTTCACTACATGCAGATGTTATATAACCAGACAACCTTTGCCTCAGTTTTATAGTATACTTAACTTGCGCTCACATATAGGCACATATTCCACTATGGAGTGTTGAAATCACTTGAGTTGCGACAAATGTGGCTTTCCTGAGGATAATTGGGTGCATTAGGTTTTGTACTAGGGAAACCAAAATGAAATTTTTGATGAACTGCCACTGTGCTCAACAGGGCATTGTGGAAAGCAATGAAAAGAACACAAGGAGCTATATATGTATATAAAAGAGTCATAATTGTGTCTCCTGAAAGTCTTTTCATACGGGAATAAAGTGCATCACGTGATTAAATCACAAAATGAGGGGAAATTAGTACAACACAATAGCGTCAGGAGGGATGAAGGAGAAACTGTATTGACAAAAGCGCTCAATACATTATAATTCACTCCAGTACACTCCTGCTTACTCAGTGATTACATAATGAAGGTCACTTAATTGTTTGGGTTCACTTCTACTGTAAAGTTCACTTCTAATGACAGACAGTTGTCGCGCACATGATGAGCGACTGGTTTGATAGTTTATAGTTATACCTTATGCCGAGTTCACACTGCACGATTTTAGCCCGATTTTTCACTCGCCGACAGGTTTTGCGGAATCGCCGACAAATGCCCGAAATCGGAGGCAAATCGGTGCTCGTTCATATCTGGAGCTGTCGGCGATTCACAATCATGCTGTGTGAAATGAGTTCTGACTGAAAAACACATCGGCGATGACCTACAGCCAATGAGAGACCAAGATACAGGGCAGCTGGAAGTTCGGGGAGGAGTTATATGAAACGTAGTTTGCGGATCAGTATTGCCAAATCCGCGATTGCCGCTGGTTGTTTTTTATGTCAGCAGGTTGAAGCGACCCCAATAACGTGATATTTAGGCCCTGGAATGTGAATTGTACCAGGAGAGCCCTGCCAAAAAAAAATTTATTTTACCCTCGAACGCGAATTTTACTGGGGGACCCCCTCGAAAGCAATTGGGTTATTTTCAGGCTAGTTTTGAGTAGTAATTGGGCGGGTTTTGTAGCGAAAACCTGACAACCCTGCACCAGACAGAGCTGTCGACGATTCTTCCTATTGTAAAGTCATGCAGTGTGTAACCTCCTGTCTCGTTCCATCGTGCAGTGTGAACACAGCAACAACTGAACGCTACCCCAGATAGTCGTTCAGTGTGAAACCAACAGTGATGCGACGTCTTTGAAAATCGTGCCGTGTGAACTCGGCATTACTTAGCTGATTTTATTATCAGTCATTATCAGAGCAGTCAAACGTATTAACTGTAGTTTAAAAAAAATTGGATTAGCGCTTTGCCTCACGCTTAATACATGCTCTGTCAAAGATCATTTACTAAAGATGTGAGTAGGTGTACATAACTACTTGGAAATCAATAAAGTGATCTAGGAAATTAAAGACATTCGCTCAAGTAGCCAGCACTAAACACTTTGTCACATCAAGAAAGCCATATTTCTGTGCTTAAAAAAATGCATACACAGTAATAGTTCTGGTGGAACCAAATCTCAAGAATCTTAACTCTAACCTTTAAGGGGAAAAATAATTCTGTCAGCGTTTAACTCACCTTCATGCCATTCCAAACCTGATTGCTGATATTTTTGAAGAATCGTCACACTGCTCTTTTTTCATACAAGACTTCATAGTGAGACATCTGTAAAGCTCTAAAAAATACACAAAAAAACAACTGTAAATGCATAAAAGTGGTCCATGTGCGCTATATATTCTAGCCCATATGATCTGTTTTAACAAATCCAGTTCCTGAAGTAATTATTTAAGGCCTTAGGAATAAATATTTGTGCAAAAAGAAATACAATTCCATTGCCAAATCATGGTATATTTTCAATAATAAATCCATTAAAACAAAATGTATATTTAAAAAGTGATATTCACTTTCATAGTCTTTTAGAGGCGACATTAAGGCTTTACTGAATAAACCGCAACAAAGTGCATCTTTAACTACACACTGTCATATGAACATCTAATTACTCTGATTTATTCTCTCACATTTAATTGAGATATATGTTTAAGTCACTAAAATAACTGAACACATCTGATTAGTCATTTATGCTGTCATTCATTTTGATTCACTAAACAGTCTAAATTGAATCTTCACTAAACTAAATCATAAAGTACTAACAAAATTAAAAGTCTTTTATCGCTTACTCACCCACGTCATTCCAAACCTGTATTTTGAAGAATGTTGGTAACTAAACAGTTCTGGTGACCATATGGACAAAACACTGAGACATTTCTCAAAATATCTTTTGTTCCATTAACTTGAATATTTTGATATATGATATATTGATATATTTTGAATATTAACTTGAACTGTTATACATGCAACTGTAAAGTAACTACAATTGACTCATAATACCATAGGGCTGCATATAGCACAAGAGGGGTAGCTACACTCTTAAAAATAAAGGTGCTTCAAACGGTTCTTCAAGCGATGCCATAGAAGAACCATTTTTGGTTCCACAAAGAACCATTCAGTCAAAGGTTCTTTAAAGAACCATCTCTTTCTTAACTTTTTATAATCTGAAGAACCTTCTTTCGCCACAAAGAACCTTTTGTGAAACAGAAAGCTTCTGCAGATGTTAAAGGTTCTTTATGGAACCATTTAGACAAAAAGGTTCTTCTATGGCATCGTGAAGCATCTATATTTCTAAGAGTGTACTGACTATATTGCACATTTATGTTGTCTTATTTGGAGCTTATCATATTTTGTAAAGATTTAAGAAATAGAATTAAAAAAATAATAATAATAAAAAAACAGTTTAATGGTATGGAACAAGGTGAGGGTGCGTTTATTTTTGATGAATTAAAAGGGTGTTAAAAGGAAAGGAGGCACTAAGACCCAGAGGACAGCATCCTCTCTCAAACTAGAAGACCATGGTTATCAAAGCTGCAACTTTTGCATCAGAGCCCTATAAAAAGCAAGAACCCTGCGACCGCCTATCATTGAAACCTATGACAAATTGCCGCTGCTTGCGGGCAAAGTATCTACCTTTTAAAGATGACTCGTTTGTGGACGTGAAGCAAGAGGAGCACTGAAGAAGGATGCAGGAATGTTCTTACACAACTTCTGGGATGCTTTATCATATTGTGCAATTTTGCAACTGGCATGCCCGCAGCTGATTTGAATTTTTCTTAGAGACCGAAGTTTGAGAATTAGAATGAAGCAGAAAGATATCGTTGCATGTCACAGAACGAAAACATTCACGGGCGTTTGTCTGCACCTGATGCTGGAGCTGACAGAAATTATGAAGCGCAGAAAATACTGCTTTATTTTCAAAATATGAAAACATATGTCTGCTGGAATGGAGCGCAGCGGTCATTTCAAACCAACACCTGGCCATTTCGAGGTTTTGAACGCCTCGACCGGCACCATTGTTACTTTAACGCCTAAAACAGACGAAAAACAAGAAAGTTTCGCGTTCCAAGTCACCTTAGCGTCAGTTCTCGGTCTCATCACTCTTGCGACTATATTAAGCAATGCGTTTGTCATCGCCACCATTTCCCAGTCCAGAAAGCTCCAGACACCGGCGAACTTCTTGATCGCGTCCCTGGCCGTCACGGACCTTCTGGTGTCTGTGCTCGTGATGCCCATTTGCGTGCTTTACACGGTCACGCACGTGTGGTCGCTTGGGCAGGTTATCTGCGACATCTGGCTGTCCTCAGATATCACCTGTTGCACCGCGTCCATTCTTCACCTCTGCGTAATCGCCTTGGATCGATACTGGGCTATAACGGACGCGGTCGAGTATGCCAAGAAGCGCACCCAAGCGCGCGCCGCGGGCATGGTGGCGACCGCCTGGATCATCGCCATCTCCATCTCCCTGCCACCTTTCTTCTGGCGGCAGGTGAAGGCAGGGGAGCTCACCACCTGCTCGGTCAACACGGACCACATCTTCTACACCATCTACTCCACTTTTGGGGCTTTCTACATCCCTACGCTGCTGCTAATCGCCCTGTACGGGCGGATTTACGTGGAGGCGAGGAAGCGCATTTTGAAGCAGTCGCCCAAAAAAGCGGGGAAAAGACTCACTTCGGCACATCTGAGCACTAATTCTCCCGCTTCGGTGGCTTCGACTTCTCCTTTGCATTGTGGAAGGCAAGACCTGTGCTCGGACAGCGGGTCTCTGGGCAGTGAGAATCAAATTAGAGTAACTGTGTCCGATTCACTTCTGGAGAAAAAGAGAATCTCGGCTGCGCGGGAGAGGAAAGCCACCAAAACCCTGGGCGTTATTTTAGGAGCCTATATTGTGTGCTGGTTGCCGTTTTTCATTTACACACTGCTGGTTCCCATCTGTCCATCCTGCTTTTACGCAGAACTCTTTGACTTTTTCAATTGGCTTGGCTATGTCAACTCACTGATCAATCCAATAATATACACCATGTCGAATGATGACTTTAAAAAAGCTTTTCACAAACTCATAAGCTTTAGATGTTGCAGACGACAGTAACATAGATAAATAAGTATAATAATGTTCAGTCAGTCGGTCATTATCGCAAGTGATATCGCTGCGCTGTTGAATGCTTGATTCTGATTGGTTGACAGACATTCTAAGGTGTTGATTGTTGTTCTGCACCTGCAGGGATTTGAAGCCGTTCCAGTTCATTACAGTCCCGTATCATTATTTCAGTTTTTCAGCATAGACTATAAAAGCAGGCAAATACACGGCCAACAAATAAATTAAGTGAAGTGACATGTGGCCAAGTATGGTTACCCATACTAGTAATTAGGGCTCTGCATTTTAACCCATCCTAAGTGCACACACACAGCAGTGAACACACACACACCCGGAGCAGTGGGCAGCCATTTATGCTGTGGCGCCCGGGGAGCAGTTGGGGGTTCGGTGCCTTGCTCAAAGGCACCTCAGTCGTGGTACTGAAGGTGGAAGAGAGTGCTGGTTATTCACTCCCCCCACCTACAATTCCTGCCAGACCGGACACTCGCAACCTTTGGGTTACGAGTCCGACTCTCTAACCATTAGGCCACGACTTCCCCAGACAGCAAAATCAATATGACAAATTATTTCGATATTGTCTAAACTAATTAATCTAATAGCCTCAATGTTTGTAATTATGTTGCTGCCTATTAACATTGCCGAGAGCCGCAGCAGACGCAGGCAATCACACGCGCGCTCCCTCCGTCTAGCTTTCGCTGTCACAAACATAACCTTGGCTACTCCAATAACTGCTAAGAAACAGCCCAAGCCTTGGTTACTAGTTCAAAAAGTGACCCTTTCGAATTAATAAGGCAAGAAAAAGAGTGGTTTGGAAGAGTCTGAGGTAAACGCATTAAAAACTAACATGGTAGCCATTGTGTAAGCTAAATGATTAACTTCAGATTCAAGTCATGGCATATGATGTGAAAAACTAACATGTGACTGCACATTATTCAACTTATTAAACGTTTACTTTACCAGTGACTGGTACTGTTTTCCTTCAAAATCGTACTTTTTCCTAGGATTCGCATCATACGAATTCATAGGAAATTGCCATCTTGATCCTGAGTCCTGATAATGACTGTCTGACTGCATATTATATCACAACTTTAAAAATAAATGAATGATTGAATACATGAATACATAAATTAATAAGTAAAAGAACATGAAATGATTACGTAATGATTCTGACAAAGACAAAACATGAGCACAGATACACAGGAAACGGGGTTCCTAGATGAGTGGTCAATCAGACTGACCAATCAGAATCAAAAATCCCAGACAGCCGTGTAATAAACTTTGTTATGTGGGCCTCGGTTGGCATAGTATATGTAGGCTACTCTTTCAAAACTGAGCAGAATGTACTACAATGACTTTGGATTTCGTAATAGTGCTTGTGGTCAACCAGTCGCTAATTAATAAGCAAAATTGTGTAAAAAGCTTCATTGTCTTTATAAAATGTGCGATTCAGTTGCCCTTATGTGATCACTGCCTATAGCTGCTGACTGATCCTAAACTTAATAAATAAGTTGGATAATCCATTTGCTTGTGCTCACATCCAATACGTCTTTCGTCTTGTGTTACAGTTGATTAAACGGTGTGAATATGTGTTTCTTACAGCAGTGCATGCTTACCTTAGACTTAAATGATGAAAACAGGCCTACTGATGATAAAGTATTGTACCTAAATCTATTATTGGCATGGCTCTCCTTGTCCAAGCTCCCAAAATGTGGGTGTTTTGGTGAGAAGTCCTTGTTTGCTGTGGGAATTTATACTGAGGTCAAGTACTCACTATACAAACATCAGCAGTACAGCAAGAGTTCAAGTGCCTCAGATAAGAGTTAAACTGACCAACCAGAGGTCCTCAAGATTTAGATGTGAATTGAGATCTACTTCTAACCCAAATTCTGCTCTGTACACTCATAAGTCATATTATCTGTCACTTGGCAGTATGAGAGATCACTGAGTAACTGAGAATGACACGTCTACCGCAGGAGGTGAGTAATACGTCAGATACGCACAAGAAAAGGGCTGAGGGGGAGATATCGACCTGTCAAGCCCATATGGAGGTGACAGGGAAGGATCACTGCAAAGCCGCAGCATATCGCGAAAAGGCACGTTTGATATTTCCTATAATTCTGCTTTCCCACAATGAGCCTGTGTTTTCTTCAACCCTGTCTTTCTATGTGTAGTCATGGTGGATATTGATTTAGTTATCATGCTGCAAAACCTTCAGCAGCCAGTGAAATTGGGGACATTTGGGGACCAACGGACTAGAAACTGACATGAAAATCATCATGAAAATGAAAATCATGCTGATATTTTCACTGGTTTTTGGAGCGCAGACCCATTTAATGCCTACGAATTTGATGTGAAGTGAGTTTTAAAGACCTCATTTTATACTATTACAGCTTGAATGCTTTAACGCCATGCAAACACCCGCAATAAGTGTAAGATGTCCTGTCAGAACCGCTTAACAGTGAAACACAAATTAGCTCTCATAAAGCAACGGTGGTGGAAAAGCAAGCAACATGATGGCATAAATGAATTTTTTTCTAACCATATTGGTCTTTTTGGAGTATGCTGATTAATGTCTTTTATCATGAGTAGCATTAGTATAAAATGATTTGGACAGGCTTGGAGGAGCTGTTAATTATTTGTTTGTTGGTTTAATTAATTTGAATTTAATCTCTTGTCTCTGCCATTTATCTTTTCTTCTGAACCCATTAAAAGTAGTAGATTTAATACTATGCAAAATAAATCTTGCATTTCTGTCATAAGCCATTGTTGTTATTAAATGTTTTTCTTTTATTGTTTTTTATTTAATATAATTCAAATTGAAATATTTGGTTATAGCACATGAATCATTTTAAATAAAGTTCCTTTTTCCCTCCTTATCCTTAATGTCCTCTATGGATGGAACATTAATCATGAGCAAACAGAGAAGCACTCATTTGCATTAACAGTGAAACACAAATTAGCTCTCATAAAGCAACGGTGGTGGAAAAGCAAGCAACATGATGGCATAAATGAATTTTTTTCTAACCATATTGGTCTTTTTGGAGTATGCTGATTAATGTCTTTTATCCTGGAGTAGCATTAGTATAAAATGATTTGGACAGGCTTGGAGGAGCTGTTAATTATTTGTTTGTTGGTTTAATTAATTTGAATTTAATCTCTTGTCTCTGCCATTTATCTTTTCTTCTGAACCCATTAAAAGTAGTAGATTTAATACTATGCAAAATAAATCTTGCATTTCTGTCATAAGCCATTGTTGTTATTAAATGTTTTTCTTTTATTGTTTTTTATTTAATATAATTCAAATTGAAATATTTGGTTATAGCACATGAATCATTTTAAATAAAGTTCCTTTTTCCCTCCTTATCCTTAATGTCCTCTATGGATGGAACATTAATCATGAGCAAACAGAGAAGCACTCATTTGCAGGCATATGATTACCACTTGTCTTTGATAACATATGACCTTGATATAATCAACATACAAATCACTCAGGCATATATTACACACATGGCCTGCATATACAGTATGCCTGAACGTGCAGTCTTACAAAAAGTCATGCGGTATTACTGCAAGCAGTCATTTATCTTTGAAGTAATCTTCGAATGTTTTTACATTTGCTGGACATTAACCATAATATTCACATTTCTAAAGATTTCATTTATGGGAGATACTCTTCCTCATCTGCTAATAAACAGCAACTGTTCCTTCACAATTGAAAACACATCAATCTGCTTTACAATTACACTTTACATTAATTGTGCTAAGCAGATGTATCTATGTAATGATGTTAACATGTTTTCATATCACATCTTATTGTTCAAATTATTCTAATCTGATTATGTCACTAATGCACAGTTAAAAGGATAGTTTAGAGGATAGTTAAAAGGATTATTTGCTCACCAATGTCATTCCAAACCTGTATGGCTCTACAACCATGAGAAAATGCAAATATTTTACAAGGTAGCAATTTCATATTAATTCGTATGAAATGATTCATACAGAAATGTAATCCTACAAATAAGATAAGAAATGGAATAGCTATCTGTAGTTACAAATTTACATTAGAATGTGTTGGAATTTCATTCTTTAATGGAACACTAAAGGAGAAGTTTATCAGCATGTCCTGGCTGCTCTTTTTCTTACAATTATAATAGATATGGATAATCAACTTCCCAAAACAACCAAAAAATATACAATTAAAGAGGTCCATACGACTTGTGCACTACATTCCAAGTTATCTGAAGCCCCGCAATAGCTCTGTGTGATGAACTGATCTAAATATTTAGCTAAAAATTACTTAAAATCTCATTCACATTCACTTACATTCACAAATGGTATATCAAGACACCAGTTCGAAATGACGCCAAACCTTAAATGTAGGTTGGTTCCTCACACAAAGGTATAGTTTAAAAAGATTATATTTTTAGATTATTACACTTACAAGAGTAAATGACAACAAAATTGTCATTTTGGGGTGAACTATCTCTTTAAGAACACATATCACCCTCCATATGTCATGCTATCTGCTCATGCACAGCTATAGATCACGTCTGTACGTCAATCATGTGTCATGCCCATCAGTTTTATTTTTCTCCTGAACATATCTGCATACGCAGAGTATACACTTATGGTTCATAAAGTGCGACATCCAGATATAGTTCACAAGTGTAGTTGGAAAGGTTGTACCGTTCAACCATCTGAACAGAACAACGTGCCAGCAGGCACAGCACACTGCATTTATGCATAAAATCAATGTCGAAGATGAGCCTTTGCAAAATACTGGGCTGTACAGCTAATTTTCTTCTCGCTGAGGTAATATTAACGCCAAAAAGCCTCTTTTTTTCTTTAAATGCCACCCCTTGAGATCGACAGATACCTATGTTTACTTGTCGGAGTGGCTTATTATCAGCCTTATGCTATTTTATTGCTTTATATCTTTGCTGCGATTATTCACCTCAGGATTATTAATTTCACAAGAGGAAGTATGGAAATATATTCAGTATGTTCAAAAACAAGACTTTACGTCTGGAAACATTTAGGCATTTGTCTTACGAAGGCTATCCAGATAATGACTTTAGCACAGGCCATTAATCCATTATATTTCTACATGGTCCATAACAGACAGCAATCATCAGTTCAGTAAATGTCAAGACAAAAAGTCATTAATTTTGATCCAAACACTAGCTCAGATTCAGAGGAAACAGACCTCTCTGACAGAGGT